GGATGAGCCAGGTTTCACTTTTAACCCAAATGGCATTATTGTTTTAAGCTCGACCTTGAACGGCGTTGTAGCAAGGGAGGATATGCGTGGTAAAGAAAAGGGACATAGCAGAGGTTAAGGAGAGGGATTGTGGTAGGGTAGGTAGGGTAGGGTAGGGGAAAGGGAAGGCAGGGCAGGGCACGATATAGTAGGGTATAGTAGGGTAGAGTAGGGTAGGGTAGGGTAGGGTAGGGTAGGGTAGGGTAGAGGGAAGGCAGGGTAGGGTAGGGTAAAGGGATGGCAGGGCAGGGTACGGCAGGGTACGGTAGGGTAAGTAAGGTAGGACAGGATAGGGTATAATCTGGTAGGATAGAGTAGAGTAGAGTAGAGTAGGGTAGGGTATAGTATGGTACGATAGGGTAGGGAGGGATACGGTAAGGTATGGCTGGGTAGTAGGAGGAAGGGAAGAGGATAGTGAAGGGAAGCGTAGGTAGGGTAGTGAGGGTTAGGGTAGGGTAGGGTAGTGAAGGGTGGGGTGGGGTGGGGTGGGGTAGGGTAGTGAAGGGTAGGGTAAGGAAGGGTAGGGTAAGGAAGGGAAGGGTAGGGTAGTGAAGGGTAAGGTAGTGAAGGGTGGGGTGGGGTGGGGTGGGGTGGGGTGGGGTGGGGTGGGGTGGGGTAGGGTAGGGTAGGGTAGAGTAGAGTAGGGTAGTGAAGGGTAGGGTAGAGTAGAATAGAGAAGGGTATGGCAAACTTGGGTACAGCAAGGTGTGTGCGTGGGGGTGTGGGGGGGGGGGGGAGCACAGCATAATGGAAGGGGAAGGACGGATGAAAGGGGATAGGAAAGAGTAGGGGAGGGTAAGAGGGATGAATGGAGGGAAAGGAGAAAAAATGGGAAGGAGATAGCAAAAATGGAGAGAAGGGAAGGGAGGGGAAGGAAAGGGGATGTAAGAAGGCAAGGGTGGCATAAGGAAAGGGGGGGGAGAAACTGTGGAGGTTCTGTTATGGTTGGATCGTCGTCAGGAAGACCCGTCATCCGGAGGGCAGGGGATAAGGGTTAGGAGATGGGGGATGGAGGATGGGGGATGGGGGATGGGGGATAGGGGATGGGGTATGGGGGATAGGGGATAGGGGATAGAGGGGAGAGGAGAGGGGGTAGAGGATAGGGGTAAGGGTAGGAATGACCGATCACTCTCACATGATAGCTAAAAGAAAAAAAAAATCACCGAGTCCAAAATGACGCATGACCAATCACGTGTGCATGACCCGGGAGCAAACAAACGTCAAATGTAGGCTTCCAGAAGATTATGTCGCTGATCACGTTTATTTTTTCAACGAATGCTTCTACAAATGGCATATGGAGCGTGATGCAACATCACATGGACACTGGATTAAATGGTGACGTCATCGAACAGCTTTTTCAGATGCAAGAGAAACAGTGCCCCCCTCCCTCCCACATGCCCAGCCTCTTTCGGTTTCTCTGTCTATCTGTCTGTGCCTTTTTTTTCAAGATACCTGCATTATACAACCAATTTCCCCCTCTCCCCCTCCCAGCCATGAACCGTGAGTCACGAAACCCAGAACAAACAACAGATACAGGTTGAAAGATGACGCCGATAACAAGGCTAAATTAATTACCTCATACATAGAGAAACTCCTAAAAAAGAAGAAGAGGAAGAAAAAAGGGGGGAGCAGAAAGCGTCCTGGCGGAGTACCAAGCGGTGACATAATGTGAGCGAAGACTGACGGAGCCATAAGGTTGCCACGTAACAGGGACATGGCCGTATAGGGGCGTCGCCACACGTATTCCTGTCGCCTTTACCATCTCTTCTCTTGTGCACCAGTGAAAATGGGCAGAGACAAAGAGAAGCAGACGCGGACGCAGAGACCGAGACAGGCTAATGCACAGACACGCATATATAAAGTCCGACAAGACACAGACAAATAGACATACGATGACATACTGAGACAGACAGACACATACATCAACACGCACGCGCGCAATAAATGGAGAAAACGAGTTTCGATACGAGTATTTAAGTTTCACGGGAAACTGCGAGGGGGAAAAAGAAAAAGAAAAGAAGGGAAAGGAAGAAGGATGAGAAAAGGGAAGAAGTGGAACGAAGAGAATGACGTAGAAGGGAAATGAGGGTGGGCGAAAGAACAAAAAAGGCGAACAGGAAAAAAAATGTAGAAAAGCAAGAAAGAGACGAAGGAAGGAGGAGGAAAAGCGAGAGCGAGATAAAGGGGTAGTAAAGAAGTTGGGATTCACAACGGACCATATTGTCTAGCGAGTTATTCTCAGCCAAAGAACGAATTTACACTACCAGTCAGAGCCAGAGAAAATGTGTCCCTCTTAATCTCCATTCTAAATCCTCATGCTACGTGCGTGTGCTTTGCCTTTTTATCTTCATCCACTTTCTTTGACTCTAATTACCGACTTAAAATTCTGATAAACCAAAAGCCAACCATCTCCCTTCCGTTATCTATCTTTGAAAGAACTTCAGCTTTCTTTCAGGGGTTTGCAATGTGCTTCCGAAGGGTGTTGGCTGGTAGTGGTGGTGGTAGTTGTGGTTGTGGTGGTGGTGCTTGTTGTTCTGGTGGTTGTGGTGGCAACTGTGGCTGCGATGGTGATAGTTCTGGTTGTGGTATGGTGATATGGTTGTTAATTTTCTGCCTCTCAAAATTTCAAGATGCATTGTCCTGCGGATCAATCTGCACGTGTCTGGCGCACCAACACACAATACCAGTAGGCTGTTTGCTGACACTTGCCACATGCTGAGGCATATTTCTCCCCCTTTCGGCTGGCATGGGCACGTTTGGCATTGGATTAAAGGCAATGCAAGACCTTCGCAGCCACAGCCCATTCCTCCTAGCGACGAAAACAAACTATTTAATTAACTGTCAAATCCGTGGACAGCGGTTTGATTCTATTGCATTCGTTTAAATGGAACAACTATGCTCCAAGATGTAATCTGGTTTACCAAACAACGAGAAAGAAATCCTCATGCAGTCTGGAAAACGTAAATGTATGCGTGAGGATCGGCATCTCACGCCAATTACGCAATGACCGCAATCTAGTAAGTGCCATTTAATTGGGAGTAGATACCAGAGTTGAATATCCGTTTAATACACTTATTGGTTTTCATTTTCGCGTAGCAATTTGTAAAAAATAAGTGTCTAAATCTCATTCTCTCCCTTTCCCCATCCCTCCTCATTCATCACGCACGCGCGCGCGCACACACAAACGAAGGCAGTACCAGCCAAAAAAGTGTTTCCCAAGACCACATACCGCGCAATCCCGCTGGCTGGCGCTGGCATCCAAGCACGCTCAAGCAACGCACACAAGCAAGCAAGAACTCGGCGTCTTAAATATGGACTTTAACTGGCTCTTGAGATATATTTGATGAGTCACAGAAGCACGTGGGTTTTAGGAGAGCAGATGGGTCAGTCAAGAAGGAAGGGAAAGGCGGCTGCCAGATGGATCAAGCAGACAGCTGGGTTTAGGAAAACGTCATCGAAAGCCGCGACGGAGACAACAATCGAGGTAAAAAAAGAAAAGAAAGAAAAATAAATATTTGACAATAGGCCTTGAAGCAATGTTCTTGAAACGTGTTTGTTTAGGTATAACTTACAAAATAAACAAGATCCGGAGATATCAAGGCCTTTCCGGTTTATAGAAAATAATTCGAAGCAAAACACAATCACCCAAAATGCCATAGCCACTGCCGGGAACTAAATAAACCACTTTCTCGCAGTGCTTCGTAAGTGACTTCAAAACACAAAATATGCCATTTCCGGCTAGTTTCTTCTTGAACCACCTCCGTCTGTTGCCATATCAATTCGACGAACACCTCATTCCTTATCCCGCCTTTTCCCCAGAACCATTTACTTATCCTCTATTTCCTTTTTTTTCCCTTCTTCTCCTTCTCCTTCTAATTCTCCTTCGCCGTTTCACCATCTCCTTTCTCCACTTGGCAATCCACTTTTCCCTTTCTGTTTCTTCCCCCCTCCTTATCTTTTATCACTGCTCTCCTCTTGTATCCCTAGTCCTATTCCCTTTCCTCACCCTCCTCTCTATTTCCTCCTTCGCCCTCTCTTTTCCACTTCTGCCACGTTCCCCTTCCTTTCTCCTCTCCCTCCTCTTCCCCCTACCCCCGTATTAGCACCGTGAGCGACCCAAGCAAACGTCAACCACCTGGCACCAATTCAAACACTGGGGGAGGCATTCACAAAATAAAACCTAAAACAATAATAAAAATACAAACACACGTCTATATCCCACGACAACCACCTGTGAAATGGGGGTAATGGGGCTAGGTGAACAGATGGCTTGTGTGGCAGGCAATGAATGAAGGAGAGGAACTACATGGATGGAAAGATGTCCGTGAAGAGAAGGTGCAAAGAAGAAGAACAGGGTGGTGAAAGAAGGAAGGAGTACAAAAGTGACTGATACATAGACCAGAGTACATACAGCATATGGAATACTGCTATTTCTAACCCCTTTGTACATGATTTATTCTCTCCCCTTCCCTGTCCCAACCCATTCAATGCCATTCTCTATTACAATCACAACCACACCGACTCCCTCACTCACCTCATGATCACAAACCCTCACCCACATCAACAAATAATTACTTTTTGAACTTTTAATTATATTCATGACATAAATAAAGAAATAGGTTTATGCAAAATTGACATAAATACAGATATAGGCAAATACAAATTCAAAGACAATGACAGAGACAAAAGACAGAAGACAGAAAATACAGACCACAGAACATCACAACAAACTGCAACGGCTAATGATTCAGAGAGCGTTACCCAAATCCAGTCTCAAAAGAGCCCCCTTCCAGCTCTCTGAATCATGTTAGGGTTTATTGCCACAAACAAAACAAACAAAAGGTAATTAAAAAAGAGGCTAAAACAATAATGAAAGATAAAGAAAAAAAATATACGTATATAAAAATAATCAATGAAGCTATTAAGCTGCGAAGCCCAAAGATCCTAAACTCACTACTTACCGAATCTTTCTCTTCCTCCTCCTCCTCGCTGCCTTCATCGCCTGGCTGTTGCTGTTGCTCGGCCAAGCGCTGTGCTCTCTTCTCAGGGTCAATCTCCTGGTGCCCGAGATTTATTTTTAAAATAATTAAAGGTGTTTTAAAAATCAAGGTTAAAGCTCAAAATGCACATTGTGAAAAAAAAAGAGATGAGCGTGCTAGCTGAGTCAATTAAAAAATTAAATAATTCATGAAAAAATAAAAGCAATTAGTTCAAAATTACTTATTCTTATTTTTAGTGCAAGCTTACTTTTTGACATGAGCACACATTTTCTTTATTCCATTTTGTATATTAGATTTCAGGCATGTATTCTTTGCTGCCCATTATAGTTATGCCACTTGGGAATAACAGCCAACCATGATTAAATTTGCTTTGTATGCATGGAGATTATCTATAGTCTGGGAACAAATTAGGTGCTACTATGATACATCACAGGTGATTTTTTTTTCTTTTTCTTTTTTTTTTCTTTTTTTTTTTAAGAATCACTTACATACATTACTTAAAGAAAAAAGTATTTATTTATGTATGTAGGCATATTTACAGATAACTGAACTCCAGCTGATCACCAGGAGCAAAGAATATCTCTTGCATGCCTGCAATGGACCAAAAGAAAAGTGTGGCCCAAAAAAAACATTCCTGGAGTACTCACATCCATGTTGACTTGCACCCTGCCCGTGGAGCGCCTCTTGGGTTTTTTCCGTCGTTGGATTGCAGCCTGGGTGCCCTCCCGCGTTTGTGAAACGCGTTCGCTATCTTTATCTTCATCTGCAGGGCATAAGAAATGACAAGTTCTATGAAGTCCTCTCCTTTTGCTTTTAAGAATACAAGAACACTTTTTGAAAAATTATTTATCTTATTAATTAGGATTTCACCCCCTAAAAAATCCAAATTCTGACATACCTGCTTTCTCTTCAGAATTCTTTTTACGTAGTGGAACTGTGACTGATTCTGCATCATTTTCAACTTCCGGTTTGTCTTTTGATCGAACATTTTCCAATGAAAACTGTAAAAGAAAAACGGACTGTTAAACCAACTACAACAACAAAGAACAAATAGCAAAGGTACAGCTTAATGAGTGGTTAAATTTTTCTTAGTTTTACACAGATATGCACATCTATTAATAATAATAAAACAGTTATAAAATCAAATACAAAACCAATTTATCTACTATCAGATTACAAAGAAAGAAAGTAAAGAAATATCTAAAAAGGGCAGATGGACAAATAATCTAAAGCAAACCCTACGATAAGCATTCACAACTAACCAACATCAACCAAGCTAACATAAAAAAAAAAAATAATAATAATAATAATAAATAAATAAAAAATAAAATAAATAAAGTAAAATAAAATTCGTAACCAATAATAAATAAATAAATAAATAAATAGCCATAAAGTGAGCCTTCGACATACCTTATTCTTATCAGTCTCATCCACCTTCAGCCTCCAGGAAGGCCGACGCTCCTCTTCTTCGGGTTTGGTGGGTGACTCGGGCTTTGGCTTGGATGAGGGTGAAGATGGGGTAGTTGTGGGTGTGCCTTGTGTGGTGGGGGTGGACACAGTGAGAGTGGAGGACGGTGATTCCTTGGACTCTGGACTAGATGTCTGTGGGTGGCAAGAGAGGATTTCCAACCTTTAAAAGCAGGTTTCCAGATCTCCTTCAATACTGCAGTAGGGGTTAATATGCCTCGCACACTGCTTATCTCATGATCTATTTTAGAATTTTATATATGGGGGCAGGGGGCAGGGATGGAGTGGAAAAAATTTACTTGATACATTTCTTCATTCCAAAGTGTATCATGGTTGGTTTTCCATATAGTTTTCAGTTTCTGTGTCTGTGTATGCGCTTTATGTATGTGTGTGCATGTAGGGTTATGAGAATGTATGAGCAATTTTCTTTAATAAACATAAATAACAATCCTTTACTAGTAACCCTTACACATCAAGCCTTCAATGAACCATTAGCATAATATAGTATTATCTGAGTATATTCCAAGATATTTCAATTTTCATGCAATTGCAGTGGAGGGAAACTTAAAACACCAATTCAAATAAAAGATTATTAAATTCCAACTAAATGGTTCAATATAGAAAATAAAGCACAAAAAATTAATACCAATCTAACACAGAATAAAGGAACATATTGGTATCGTAATCTAATTCCTGCACCTGAGGGAGGGAAAGATACACAACATATCTCTATAACAAATATGCAATGAAGGTTTGAGACTGAATGTAATGTAATGTATAATGTATAAAGGTATTTTGACATCTGGAACCTTTCAATATGATGTGTCTATGCTTTTTATTAAGAATGTGTTGGGGGGGAAATGAATATGAAATTCCTAATGACATTCATATATACTCAGGTTACCTTTGAATCTGATGAACTTTCTGAACCATTTTTGGCTTAGTACCTAGTGAAGACAATGTCCCAATTTGGTACAAGACATTGAAATGTAATGAGATGATACAAAATGAAATGAGGACTGACAAAACCACACTAAAGAAACTTACCATTGCCTAGGCAATTCCTCAGAATTACATCCTTGACTTGCAACACCATTACCAAGTAAAGTTAGGGTTTGCTGACTCTATTGGCTAACCTAGCAATTAACTGCCTTTGGATAAGATGTAATTATAATAAAAAAAAAAGAACTGTAACCTGTCTATTGAGTTTCATTATTGGAAATGTGTTGAGGCCTTTCTCTTGTTGTATGTGTTCAGTATCTAATATGTACATACATATACATATACATATACATATACATATACATATACATATATATATATATATATATATATATATATATATATATATATATAAAGATAGTCCCCTACTTAAGAACATTCTACTTATGAACATTCCATACATACAAACAAAATTTTTTAAGTACTAAAGTCCAAAAAATTGTTTGAAAGATGCTAGTAAACTTCAAATTTCCCGGGCGCAAATATAGTTCAAGAGTCTGGTACTGTATAAGGTATGTTGTACTTATTGGGATTTATTTACAGGTATTCTTAATGTAAACAAAACTTTAAAACAATGGGAAAAAAGGTAATGGAGACCCGACTTTCGACATACAAACAAATCAAATTACAAACAGCCTCTCGGCCCCCACTATGTTCTTAAGTTGGGGACTTACTGTATGTATATATATATATATATATATATATATATATATATATATATATATATATATATATATATATATATATATATATATATATATATATCTTTGATATTACATATAAAAACATTAATGAGAGCCAATCTTTCAAATGGCAATGTCCATGACCACAATACATGTCCAACAACAAAGACAACAAACCAAAAATTAATCAAAGCATTTTCATATGCTTTTCAGAACCCAACCTAAGTATACCTTCTAACATTTAAAGGATTTAAGGACTTAGCATCTTACGAGCAAAACTACTCTGGAAGGGTACTCACAGACGCCTGCTGCTGAAGCTGCTGTTGCTGCTTGTTCTTCATGAGCTGCTCGGCAGATTTGATATCTTCTAGGGTAACTCCCTGCGTGGACCTTCGAGTCGATCGCACCATCTTGGCGTGGGCCTTCCTCTGAGTCTCACTCTCCTCATCACGACTCGGCGGCACAAACGACCTAGACGAGTGCACGAGGCTACACATCAGGTCACACAGCGCTCCCACCGCCCAACGTGACGCCAGGGCCAATCACCACACAGACTTGGGACTTATTTATTATCACTTTTAATACACCTTCATTTTTTTCATAATTACTGTGATATTACTGAAATGTAATACTTTTAACTTTCTCAAAAAGGAATTATTATATACAAAAAAAGGAAAAAAGGGGAAGGTAAAAAAATGTATTATTCATTCACTTCTAAAAAAATAAAATAAAAAACCAAGAAGAGTTTAAAACAATTAATTATGACTTTCTTAATATGCAATTAAAATTTACAGTCTGTGTAGTGATTGACCTGAGTTGTTAGCACACACAAGGCATCAAGCACCAACGACGAGCAAGTGAGGAACATTAAGATATACATTTGCGTGGGTTCATTCCTGGCCATGGACAGGGGGGAGAATTTTTTTTGGTTGTATTTTCACAATGTTTATGGGGGAGGGGGATATTCACATTGAAAATATAAAAATAGAAAAAATAATAATAATAATAATAAGTAAAAAAATAACCCTGGTATATTGATGGCCAAAACAAATAAATCATTAAATTTCCTAATCTGCATCTACCCACATAAATAATGTGAAAACCACAAAAAAAATACACAACCATATCAGTTATGACCCATGAAAAAATGAATATGTTAGACTTAGGTTGCACTAAGTAAAGTTAGGCAGTTACCAAGATGAGATCTTTCCTTCAGTAAAATTACAGTGTTACTATAAAGCATGAAGAAATAAAAAGTATCTTTTTTAACAAAGTAAAACTCTACCATTCTCAACAAAACTGAAGAGTCAAAGCATCAATTCATAAAATGTATAAAATTTGAAGCAGACAATAAATTAATATATCCTATGAAAAAGATATGACATAACAAATAATTGTAAATAATATAATTCAAAGTCAAATCAAAGCAAAACTAAGTACAATAAAATTAATTATAAAAAAAAAAGCAAAAATCTTCAAAAATGGCACACTAATCAAACACAAATGAAAAATACACAATTGTAAAAAATAACTAATATGCAACTTAACTATCCTCCAAAATGCTTTTTCAAAAATCAAGAAAGAATAAAAAGACTAACAGTGGTTATCTTTCAGAAATAATTTTAAGAAGAATCGAAAAGATCGCATGCTTCTGGATAGATTTCTTGCCGTATCCTGTAATCTATGGAATTAATTTCTTTTTCATGTTCCTTGTTGGGCAAATCTCTTTTTAGGGTATTAACTGTTAAAGGGACACAACAGGCAAACAACATGCCAATTAGTCTCGCAACCATACGCTGGTCACACGTTTAGAAAAAGGAAAACTAGGTTTCCTTTAGCACAAACAAAAAGACACATACACAAAGAAAATACAACTTAAAACAAAAACTATCATGATTAATTAATGAAAAATAAAGAAAAGGAGAATATGTCTATGAAATGGATAAGTCACAAGTCATTCTCATGGGTGGCAGGAGTACGCACTTGAAGAAATTCTTAATCACACTGCTCGGACTCATTTTGGATGCCGAGGGGGACTGTTGCTGAGCATTGGTAAGTGGCTGAGGGGAAGCTACAGAGGCTGTGGAAGGAGAAGGAGGAGGAGGAGAAGAGGAGGTGGAGGTGGAGGCTGCTGGGGATGTGATGGCAGAGGAGGCTGAGGATGTGGGAGAGGAGAGGGGTGGGGATGTAGGGGAAGTGGGGGAGGGGAGCTGGTTCTGGTTGGGTTGTTTGGGGGGGATGGCAAGAGTTGGGGCATTTTTGGGGGGTGGAGGGATAGCATTCAGTCCCCCATTAGTTGTAAGAGTGGTGACGTTGCTGGAAAAAGATTAGCGATTCTTAAGAGATTGTGGGAGGTGCTACATAAAATGACATCAAAAGTTTTAAAGATTAAACCACAAGCATTAGCCAAAAAATGCTTCACTGAGACAAGACTTTATACTTTTACACATAGGGAAGGCTAATATAAACACACCTGAGCTAAGGGACAGCAAATCTAATATTATTTTGTCAAACAATATATACAGACATCTCTTTTTAGAAAATAATTCAAATAAGTCTAGTCCAATAGCAGGGATAATATGAAAGCTTGTCAGTAAAATATATATACACACTTGGCCTACAAACTGTCACAAGTTCCAAAACCAAAGATAGATCAAAACCGATGAAGAATGACAATGGTAATATTCATAGAGCAATTCTATACAAATACACTGAAAAATACAAAATATGATTATCTAAAGCAGTCCTACTTTCCCAATGTTAAGATGCAGATTCATCATAGAGCACTGTTTTTAAGACCAAATGTTTTCTTTAGTAACATAAATGTATTAATGAGATTGTGTAAATCATTGAGAAATAAAATGACTAGTATTTTATGTATTGAGAAAGTGTCATATGTATTGAGTTCCTCAGCCCTTTAGAATGAGTTTCATATACAGACACATAGTGAAATTAACCTTTTTTTTTTCTTTAAACACCAACAACCAGCTATGAAAAGGTATTAGCAATTATTCCTTAACCTGATGAAGATGGGAAATAAAGAAGGGCAAATAAACATGCAATATCCACGAAAATTTTTGATTTACAGTTTATTAATATGGTTTACACATAGAAGAATCCTCAAGCATTTAGTCAAGAATGAGTCAATAAATAAGCCTATCTGAGCTGACCTGATTACCCAATTCCTTGATTTTTTATGTTTTTAATATCATAACCATTATCATTATTTTTGACACGAGCAGTTATTAACAATACTAAGAGCAATAAAAACAAATTTCCTAAAATAATGGAAAAGGGGTAAACAGGTGGTATTAAGTTGACTTACTAACTCACTCCTTGGTAATCATGCTTTTATGGAGTCATTTATATGCAAACAATATGAATAAACTGAATTCACAGTGGATGTAGAATTGCCTTCTGGTTCCAACAGGTTAACAATATCAAAAAGAAAATTATATATATATATATATATATATATATATATATATATAATACATATTCATCCTTTAAACTGCTTACTTTCACATATATTCTACATGACTAGAATATCACAGTTTTTTTAATAATGATCAAAATCATATTCACTTGAATTGGCAATCTAAATATATGAAGTATAAACCTGCAATGAGCAAATCTTCAAATAGATGAAAAATGTTTTTGAAAGTTTATCTGCATGTACATACACAGGAAAAGAATCTCCAACTGTATTTGAAAAAAACATCAACATCAATCAGCTCTCAGACCAGTGGCTCCCAACCTTTCTTTATTGTGGTCCCTGATGACTATATAATAATCAGTGTGTCATCTTTCCAGATTCAGTTATTACTAGTCATGAATAGTCAGTGTCATCTTTCCAGACTTAGTTATTACTAGTCATGTATAGTCAGTGTCATCTTTCCAGACTTAGTTATTACTAGTCATGAATAGTCAGTGTCATCTTTCCAGACTTAGTTATTACTAGTCATGAATAGTCAGTGTCATCTTTCCAGATTCAGTTATTACTAGTCATGAATAGTCAGTGTCATCTTTCCAGACTTAGTTATTACTAGTCATGAATAGTCAGTGTCATCTTTCCAGACTTAGTTATTACTAGTCATGAATAGTCAGTGTCATCTTTCCAGATTCAGTTATTACTAGTCATGAATAGTCAGTGTCATCTTTCCAGACTTAGTTATTACTAGTCATGAATAGTCAGTGTCATCTTTCCAGACTTAGTTATTACTAGTCATGAATAGTCAGTGTCATCTTTCCAGACTTAGTTATTACTAGTCATGAATAGTCAGTGTCATCTTTCCAGACTTAGTTATTA